ATATATATATGTCTGCAGAGGCAGACCAGTTTAAAATGTAGCTTTTAAAACATTTTGTCAACAAACAGAGCCGCATCAAGTTTATCAAATGTCTATGTTGGTTACAGCCCTGTATAATAATTATCTTTGCAGCCTATGCCACCTTTGTATTGTGAGTGATTAGGGTTAATGTCATGGCTTGAGCTTACATAGTAAGCTGTTTTGTGTCATGGAAGGTCCTTTTCAAAAAGCCTTTGAAGCCTCTCCTAGTTGCAGAAGGCGAGCTGTTGTATTTGTTTATATCCGTTAGAGCACTTGCCTTTTTTTTTTGTTCTTCTATCATCTTGTCCTCTTGCTCAGGCCTGCTGGAATCCCGACACAGGTTACACAAGCCCATGCAGGCGGATCCCCACACCTGATGAAGTTGAGGAACCGGTTGCTGTTGGCAGCGTGGGATTCGCACAGTATACCTCAGAAAACATTTTCATCACTCCCACACGCTCTACCCCTCTGCCGGCCCTCTGGTGAGATATTTATGGCTTCTCAAACTTTTAACTACCTTTGATTGACATGTCTAAATATTTGCCAGTAGAATATCTTTTCTGACAAGACATGAATCTGTGATGCAGTGTTGATGACTCTCATCTGATATGCATGGTTTTACATGCAAAAGTTAACTTTCTAGAGAACTGTCAACATATCAAAGCACTGATCTTAAGCCCAGCACATTTGGAATTTTATTTATTGATTTAGACGATATGTTGTTTTTGATGCATCATATCAATGCGTGAATCAGTTGTGTTTTCAACTTTCAATTTTGTAATTTCACATAGCTGGGCAAGCAAAGATGACGTGTGGAACAACCTGCTTAGAAAAGACAAACTCTACCTGCGAGATACACATGTTATGGAGAGACATCCAAATCTTCAACCCAATATGAGAGCGATTCTGCTGGATTGGCTAATGGAGGTTTGTAATCGTTGTTTAACCATTCACACGTCTTGATCTAATCTCATTAAGAGGGGTGGGGACTAAACCTCATTCTTGTCTAAACATCAGATTGTTTACAAAACCTGAGAACTTGGGGAACAGCCTTTTTTAAAATTAAAAACTAACTACAAGTACAGCCCAAAGGAAACTTCAGTTTTGACACGCACGCTCCATCCGTTTGATGGCATGCCTGATCAACATGTGTGGACAAGAACATTTCATCCTTGTCCAGTGTTTGTGCTGTCCAGAAACTGACTAAAAAATCTTTGTATGTTTAAAGTTGTGTGTGTATCTTAACACCCACACAAGTGCTTGTTGGCATGGCTGTCTTTTGTTGTCACCATCTGTAGTAGTTTGTTGTTTTTCTGTCATCCATTTATATTCAAGAATAAAATATTGCGTTATTAGAAACATGTACTATGCCAATGGTGAAATTTATGTCACAATAGGGGTTTAATGGTACATGTATTCATACTGAAATCCTGTGAGATGCATTTCACATGGCTTGCCCTCCTATCAGAAGTGTCTTGCATTTGAGACCCGTTTTCCTCAACGCATGACTTGCATCGTACCATTGTATCTTTATTGGTAAATGTTAGAAATTCACATAAGTATTTTCATTATGCATAAAGGCTGGTTCCGACAACAAGCAAGGCCCTGCTAAATTTCCCAAACTTCACTGAACAAAAGCATCATACTGCACAATAATTCTGACCAAAATATGTTTTGGTAAAATATTTTGCATTCAAAAGTGGAAGCACTTCAATTCTCTTCTCATTTACAACATCAAAAACTGCAGTACAAAGAATGTGCCGCATACCCTAGCATAGACATAAATGTTCAAGTTTTCTGGAAATGGATGGTTTTATTTTTATGAGAACCGAAATGTTGTATGGTGATTTGACACTCATTGGCATCCGCTGTTTTTCAGGTTTGTGAGGTGTACAAGTTACACAGAGAAACGTTTTACTTGGGTCAGGATTACTTTGATCGTTTCATGGCCACTCAAGAAAATGTTCTCAAAACAACACTACAGCTTATAGGCATTTCCTGTCTCTTCATCAGTGCCAAAATGGAGGTAAATTTTACTTGTAGATGCCTTTTTATTTCAGCCTGAACATTTGAGAGGGATTGTAATAGCCTTTTAGTGTAATTTGCATTTTAAGAACGTGTTTATGAAAAGTGCAGCATTTGTCAGAACTTGAAATGTAAGTTGTTGTTGTTTTTTTTCCGAAGGAAATTTACCCTCCTAAGGTGCATCAGTTTGCTTATATTACTGATGGGGCCTGCACAGAGGATGACATTCTTAGCATGGAAATTATCATCATGAAGGTATATTATCTTCATATCATCATTTAATCTCAGTTTTGTGCCTAAACCTGTAGCCCTGCTGCTTGTATGATATATTGGACTACTCTTTACACCATTTGTTGTTATTCAGGAGTTGAATTGGAGTTTGAGTCCTTTAACCCCAGTGGCTTGGCTCAACATCTACATGCAGATGGCCTATCTAAAGGAGACCGCTGAAGTTCTCATGGCCCAGTACCCACAGGCTACATTTGTGCAGATTGCAGAAGTAAGATGGCACAATTAATCACATTAAAATCTCAATATGGTGTGTGACTATATTTACCGCAAAAGGCTGTGATTCATTTAAAGTTATACTCTGCACATGTTGTGTCCCTCAATGTGAAGGCCTGAAACAGTTCTGTTTTCCAATACACTCACTCATGTTTTACATGAGGCTACTGATTTTTGCTTTTTCAAAGCTACTCTCAGTATATGAATGCACCCTACAAAGCCAATCTCTGGAGCTGCGCTTTTAAAGGCCTAGTCCACCCCAAAAAAAAAAAAAAGTCATTTACTCCCCCCTCATGTCATTTCATACCTGTATGCGTGTATGACTGACTGACTTATGTGGAACATGAAAGATTTTTTGAGAAATGTCTTAGTGTGTCCATACAATGGATGCCACAGACTTGGGTTACTTGTGTGGAAAATGATAATTCATCATAGTGTTGAAATGACATGAGGGTGAGGAAATTATGACTCAATTCTCATTTCTGGGCGAACTGTCCTTTTTTACAACAGAACTTTTTAAAATAAATTAACTCCGGACATATTTCAGTACAAGTTACTGTTACTTTACCAGAGTTGGAATGAGGAACAGATTTAAAACTTGTGAAATACACACTGAAATTCCAAAGTCTTTTGTTAGTTTTTCTCTAGGGATGCACGGAAATGAAAATTCTTGGCCAAAACCGAACAAAATGAAACACTGGGCCGAATACTGAACACGGTTTTGCGAGTTTTTTTTTCCCTCATGTATTTTGCTATTTATTTTTCACCATTGCACAAATTAAATGGCCAAAATGTGCTTTTTACTGTTTTGTCTTGGTTTTCAAAGAAAAAAATCAATTACAAAACAACAATTTAAAAATATCGAACACTGAACATTTTTAACATTCTAGCAGACACTATACCAACAAAGCACCATTTAACTTAAAATTAATAAGTTAGTAAAATAATATATTTTTTTGGCCATCAGACCCCCTTCTTGAATCAGGCATGTATTTTTTTTACTATACAAATAAAAGCAGCCTTGCAGAGCAGAAGAGCCTTCTTTTAAAACATTAGAAAATATGACATGCTTCCACACTGCTGACATGTTTGTTGCATTGTGCCTCTCACTGCGCTGGTTGCTATTTGATCGCGTCACGTCATTGTTTGGTACAGTTTATTCCGTCTTTTCGCTTATTCGGCCGAACACCGAAAGAGCTTTTTTTTTAAAAAATTTTCGGCCGAATAATTTCGGTTACCGAACATTCGGTGCATCCCTGTTTTTCTCTAAAGGGCTTGAGGGTTAAACGTTGTGAATCCACAGCAGAAATGTTACCATGT